TTATGCTGGGTTAAAATAGGGGAAAACTTCAAGGCTTTAATTGGGGCTTAGAAAGATGGGTCTCATTTTTTTCTTTTTTAAATACGTTTTTATTTATTTCATTAAATATTTATGGATATCATTTTGATAAGTAAAAGAGGGGTGGGAGGGCACTGGTGAGGAAGCAATGGCTTGTGGCCACATAGTAAATAGGGATAAGCATAGGGCCTGGGCTTATGATTGGAAATTGTGAAAAGACGGATTTGGAGGCCCAGGACCTAGGTTCAAAACCTGTTTCTGTCACTTATATCTGAGACCTTGACCAGATCTTTCAACTTCTCTGGGCATCAATTTCCTCATGTGTATGATGAGCCAGGTGGACTAGATGACTTTTAAAATCCTTTCTATCTCTTTATCTATGATTCAATGTAGAATAGGGCCTGGGTCTGGGATTTAATTATATAAGGAACTGCTAGATGAGTCATCTTCTCCCAATGTACATCAGTACCTTCAGAGCAATTTATAATCTAAGAGAGTTGCCTAGAGCGCAAAGAGATGAAGCATCTTGTGCAGGGTCATGGAGACAGTATGGATCAGAGATGGAACTTGAACCCAGGTCTTTCTGGTTTTGAGGATAGCTCTCTGTCTACTATGGCATGCTGCCTGTGAGTGAAGACTCATAAATCAAGAGTTAGAGCTCAGGTCTCCTGACACACAGTTACAGGTGCTTGGTCAGGTTGGCCTTTTCTCTTCTCTTTTGGCCTTCACCTAATCTCAATGCTAACTAGGATATTGCAATCACTACCCAGGCAAGAAACCAAACATTTTGTAAATGGAGGGGCTCCTGAGTGGAAAGCAAGCTGTCTTCAGAATCATACTACCCGGAAAGGAAGAAGTGATGGATCCCTAAAGACTGTGCACAGACTCGTTTTTGCAGATGTCCTCTGAGACCCAGACAAACTTTGCATATTCTCTCAATAACAAATTTCTTAAGTGAGGCACTGGGGGCTTCTCATATTAGTAACTATGAGTCAGCTTTGTTAATGTATGTTTGATAAGAACACAATTAGCTTCTGGTTACTAACTATGTGTCTCTAGGCAAATCACTTAACCCTGTTTGACTTGGTTTCCTCATCTGTAAAATGAGCTGGAGAAGGAAATGGCAAACCACTCCAGTATCTTTGCCAAAAAAAAAAAAAAACAACAAACCCAAATGGGGTCACAAAGAGCTGGACATGACTGAGAAACAACTGAGCAACAAAAATATTCTTTAAAATAACAACAACACACTCAATAATTTGAGGAGTTAGGGATTCACTATAAGTGGGCTTGGATTCAGAGGGTGGTACTTTTTGGCCACCTGTCACAATTTAACAATCATAGAATTAGAAGGGATCCCAAATGATCCATGATGATAATATACTTGGTTAAAGACTGTATTTGTTAACCAGATTAATCTAAGTGAATGTGGGTAGTGACAATAGTAATGGTCATAAAAAAAGAATGCTACTAATAAATCAAATCAATGATCTTCACATGTTATTTTCTTTACAATGTGGGCCCATTGCCTATATAGCACGAGATAAAAATGACTATCAGTAATAACATTAATTAAATTCTATAATGATAATAAAGAGAAATGATAAGCTACGAATTTGTGCTATGTGAGGATCATTTGAAGTGGTCACTGACCCCAAAGAATAGAAGACATAGGTAGGGCATGGCTAGATTATAGTAATGGTCTTCCAATGAATCTCTCTGACTTGATTCTCTCTCTACTCCTGTCCATCCCAACTCAGCTGTCAAACTGATCATCCTAAAGCACAGATATAACCATGACCCTCTCTTATTTAATAAACTCCAATGGCTTTCTATCTCCTCCAGGATCAAATATAAAATCCTTGGTTTGGCTTTAAAAGCCCTTCATACTCTATTCTAACCCTTTCTTACCCTTTCAATCTTCTTATTCCTCACTCTCTTCCACATAGTCTGCAAACTAGTGACTCTGGCTTCCTTGCTGATCCTCACATAAGACATTCCATCTCCATTCTGAATTTTCCCTGGCTGGCCTCCATGCCTGGAATTCTCTCCCTCCTCATTTGGTTTCCTTGGCTTCCTTCAAGTCCCAGATGAAATCTTCTTTCCTATAGGAGCCTTTTCTGATTCCTCCAAATGCTAGTGGCTTCCATCTACATTTATCTGCAATTCATCCTCCAAATACCATTTTTGTACATGGTGCTTTATATGTCGTCTCTCTTAATTAGACTGTGTGTTCACTGAGAGCAAGGACTGCCCCTTTTTTGTCTTTCTTTGTACCCCTGGCACCTCGTACTGGGTCTAACACACAGTAAGCACTTAATGAGTGCTAGTTTTTTGACTGATAGTGCTCTTTAAGTAGTTGAAGGGATGTGTGGAAGAAGAATTTTTCTGCTTAACCTTAGAGGGAAGAACTAGGATGAATGTGTAGAAGCCTGAAAATAGCAAAAATGGGATCTATGGAAGGAGAGATGTTTTAACAATTAGAGCTTTCCAAAATGGAATGGGCTGCCTTGGGAGATAATAGGTTATCTCTCACTGGAGGTCTTCAAGCAAAAGCCAAAAGATCACTTTTTAGACATGTAAAAATCATTTTACCTCAGAACAGCTAGATAGCACAGTGGATAGAGCACCTGCCCTGAAGTCAGGAAGACTTGAGTTCAAACCCAGCCTCAGACCAAACACTTGACACTTACTAGCTGTGTGACCCTGGGCAAATCACTTAATCCCAATTGCTCCCCCCAAAAAATCATTTCTCCTCCCTGGATTTGAATAAAGTTACTCAAAATGAGTGGGCTGTCCCAGATGACCTTTAAGCTTCTCCTTAGCTCCAAATCCATGATTTTCTGTATAAGTTTGACCAGATAGCTGAGAAGTACCTTCTGATCCTGAAATGCTTTGAACTTCTTATGATTTTGCTGTACCCGGCTTTGACTGAATGGCAATGTCCTGAATCTGTTGCAGTGAACAGTTGGCTCTGGCTTCCAGAGAAGTCATTAGGAAAAGGTCTTGAATATAAGGTTAAGATTAAATCGCCCATCACGCTTGGCCAAGCACATTGGCCCTGGCAGCAACAACCAGGACCAGACCATGCTCCTGGACCAAGAAGTGTTATTGTTATTCAGTCATTTCAGTCTTGTCCAACTATTTGTGACCCCATTTGGGGTTTTCTTGGCAAAGATACTGGAATGGTTTGCCATCTCCTTCTTCAAATCATTTTACAGGTGAGGCAACTGAGGCAAATAGGGTTAAGTGACTTGCCCAGGGTCACATAGCTAGTAGGTATCTAAGGCTAGATTTGAACTCAGGAAGACTCATCTTCCTGACTCCAGGCCTGGCACTCTGTCTACTGAGCCAACTAGCTGTCCCAAGGTATTATCGCCATGCTAATGATTAACATGAATTTCTCTACTCGATTTTTTTTGCCATTTTTTTCTTTTTCTTTTGAACTTAACAAACACCAAAAAAATGAGCATTCCATATATGTTGTGAGACAGGAGAAGATTGTGCATGGAACTAAGAATCTCTACTAAGTAGATTTTGCCTTTCCTTCCAAATGCCTACATACACATATATATTATATATGTATGTGTGTGTGTATATATATATATATATATATATATATACATATATATATATATATACATATATATATATATATATACACATACACACACACACATATATATATAATATATATATATACATACATATATATGTATGTATGTATATATATCTCCTTCCAACTATATATTCAACATGTAACTTTCAAAGCTGTCCTTGTCTGTTCTTCTGGCCTTTTTTCTTCTTTTTTCGTCTTTTATTTTTTAGGCAGAGAAGAGAACCCTATTGCTTTCCAGAAGGGCTGGATCACTTCACAGTTCTACTAATGGTACATTAACGTGCCTTTCTTCACTCAGCCCCTCCAACATATGTCATTTTCCTTATTTATAATAGTTGCCAATCTCATTGTTCCTATAAATCTTCTCTTGGCAATTTCTTGAGTGTCCCAGAGGAGTCACTAATAAAACATGATTGCAAAGCCTTCTACCAAAGTGACTCAACATTTCAGTTTCTTCTCAAGATGTTTATTTCTGAATATTGTAAAGGCAATTTTTTCTAATAAGAAAGCAGCAAGTAAGTACTTAAATCACCTTTGTGAGAAATGGTCTCACCTTAAGGTCTCACTTTAGGGCCTCACACATCCTTTTGTTTCCCATATTAGTAACACACTTGCCATGTATTATTGCATAGTATCTAGGTGGCATGATGGACAGAGTGCCAGGCCTGGAATCAGGAAGATCTGAGTTCAAATCCGGTCTCAGAAACTTAACTAGCTGTGTGACTTTGGGCAAGTCACTTAACCTTGTTAATTTCAGTTTGTTCATCTATAAAATGAGCTGGAGAAGGAAATGGCAAACCATTCCAGAATCTTTGCCAAGACAACCCCAAAAGGGGTCACAAAGAGTCTGATGCAACTGAAAATGACACAACAACATTCAGCCATCAGACTTTAAGCCCTCCAGGTAAATTTATTCTCTTGTGTTTATGTCTCATCACATTTCCATACTATAAATTCCTTGAAGGCAGAAACCCTGTCTTATCTAAACTTTATGTGCCCCTCCCAGCACTTAGCACAGTGCTCTCAAAACAGTAGGAACCCATGGAAGCCTTTTTTCTGGTGTAGTTCTTCTACAGAAAGACTAGTCTCTCTACGTATACTCACCCCCTTCTTGTCTGGCATGACACCACAGACAGACCCTTATATTTGGAATCTCCCTTGCTGGAAACCTTCATTTCCCTTGTTAATTCTTACCTCCCTGCCTGTGTTGGCAGAGATGTGAGAAATCAATTAAACATTCCTGAGGGCAACTCCTCACGGTTCCTATAAAGTATCTGACCCACCTTCTTCTTTTACATCATAATGCTAACCTATTTCTTGGGACCGCCCAGGTATCCAGCACCAAAGACCTGGAGAAGTCACAGAGAACATGGCATCATCTAGAAGCCAGATGCCAGAGCAGGGAGAGTATCTTTCTTCTGGATCATTGATCACCTTCCTCCAGCTGCTGAGCTTGGGGATCATTGCTAAACCCACAATCCTATGTTTCTTGGCCTCTCTAGAGATTCATCTGTGTCTTTGTCTCTGAGGTAATGATGAGCCAGGGGTGCACTGGTAAATGTTTAGCAATAAGATCTGGGGGGGGGAGGACAGCGACCCCAAACCAAATTAAACTCAGAGACTTCTCAAGGTGGAAAGCAAAGGTTACCTTTATTACAATCTCACGAGATGGCTGTCTGCTCCTTTGATACAGTGGAGGGAGAGAGAGAGAGAGAGAGAGAGAGAGAGAGAGAGAGAGAGAGAGAGAGAGAGTAACAGGGGCCGCCTTATGAAAACAAATCTCCGCCCACCACTCAAAGTCTCCACCCCACCACTATCCCTTACCCCCTTAACTGGGGGTGGGCTTACATTCTAACTGGGAGGTGGGGCTTACATTCTAGGCACGAAATTCAAAGACAAGGAAAGAGGCCCAAAGCCAAGGGCAAACGGCTCAGGTTGGGGGTAGGGCAGGGCTTATTCTTTCTGTTAAGTGCTTAAAAACAAGGTCTGAGTTGGGGAGGATTTTGAAAGTCGTAATCAAGAATTATTTGACCCTTTGAGGAGCCTTCACTTCTGAGAGTTCATTTCTCACACTACCTTCTGAACTCATTACCTTAATTACACTGAGAAGTCTTCACTGGGACATCCCATTCAGGGGGAAATATGTATGTGCAACCTATTTTTAAGTTTAATCTGTGTTCTTAATGTTTTCTCCACCACTTTCTTAACAATAGCCTAAACAACAAATAAATAAATAAATAAACAAAAAAAAACAATAAATAAAACAAACAATAAAACAATAAATAAATAAAGCCTTGATTTCTAGCATTTCCTGATTTCTGAGGTATAAAGGCTAACACTCAAATTTTAACAATAAGCTTTTGAGAGCCAGCTCCAGGTAATTTCAGCACATCTCTGCTGCACACTCAATGAATTTTTGTCCTTTCTTTCCTCCATGCCTTCCTTAAGCTACTACCTCTCCTTCCAGGCCCAAGTTTGAAGTTAAGCACTTTCCCTCATGCAAAGTGATTAGGTGACAGATTGGGTAATCAAACACTAGACTGGGAGTCAGGAAGACCAATCTTGCCTCAACCATTCACTGGCTGAGTAGCCTAGGACAAATTGCTTACTGGTCTCAGCTTTAGTTTCCTTGTATATGAAATGGGTATACTTGTCCCACCTAACTCACAGGGTTGTTTTGAGGTTCAATGAAGTAATATATGTAAGATGTCTAGCAAATCCTAGATAAATGTTTTATTAATTTATCATTGTTATTCTTCTTATTATATCTCCCCAAGAAAAGGCTTATTGGTTTTAGTATTATTGGTCAGCTTTATTTTGTGAAATTCTCTACATCTCAAAAAATCAGTTGCCAAGGACCAGGACAGAGCTTCATAAATATGTTTGCTTCATAAATGAATAGTTTCACTCAAAATTAGGATCAGTAGAGGGGAAAGGAGAGCAAAAAGAATTTATTCCAACTCTGTCTTCAAATGACCTTTGCACTGAGGAGGCCAAATAGAATATATTTTCCATCATCGCTCTTTCTCCCTCATCTTTTTCATAGAATCATAGAATTTGTGATTTGAATGGGACCTCAATGACCTTCTAGTCCACCTAAGGCAGCTAAGTGGCACAGTGGATAGAGCACCAGGCCTGAGTCAGGAAGACCTGTGTTCAAATCTGGCCTTAGACACTCACTGACTGTGTGACCCTGGGCAAGTCACTTAACTCTTTTGGCCTCAGTTTCCTCATCTGTGAAATGAGCTGGAGAAGGAAATGGCAAACCATTCCAATATCTTTGCCAAGAAAACCCCAAATGGGGTCATGAAGAGTTGGAGATAACTGAACAACAAAGTCCAACCTATACGTAGGGATGCCCCCTTTAGCATATCAGACAAGTAACCATTTGGTCTCTTCTTGAAGATCTCCAAAGAGGAAGATTCCTCCCACCATTTCACTTTTAGGTAGTTCTAATTATTAGGAAGTATTTCATGATATGGAGCCTCACCTGACCTTTTGGCCACTTTCCTCCTTTCTTCTCCAAATGCCTTCTTTTAAAAAATGACTTTCTGGAAAGTCATGAGCTGGTTGGGAATGAGACATCTGTATAAACCGAGATCTAGTGTATACTCTGGTATGTATGATAGATGTATTGTCTAGGGACCCAGAACTGTGATGTGCTGCTTTATGAGATCAGCCAAAATGAAACTGTGCATGTTTCACGATTTTGGCATCACTTGTCTCTGAGGGAATGTGTAACAGTAGCATTTTGGCTATATTATTCATTTTAAGGAATGCTCCCTTTATGCCTATGACCTCTAGTGTTTTTAATAGGAATGGGTGTTGGCTATATTATTCAAACTTAATAACATGTCCTCAGAATGCATAATAACAGCAGATATTTTTATTGTGCTTTCGAAAACATTTTTCTTTCTTCTTTTTTTTGTTTTTAGGCAATTGGGGTTAAGTGACTTGCCCAGGGTCACGCAGCTAGTAAGTGTCAAACGTTTGATCTGAGGCCAAATTTGAACTCAGGTCCTCCTGACTCCAAGGCTGGTGCTCTATCCACTGCACCACCTAGCTGCCCCTCAAAAATATTTTTCTTAAAACAACCTTGGGAGATAAGTAGTGCAAGTATCACTATCTCCATTTTATAGATGAGGAAATTGAGGCTCTCAGAGGTATAGTGACTTAGCCACAGTCCTCCAATCAATGGTAGAGCCAGTTCTCAGGATTCACTTCAGACTTTCTAGCCCCAAGTCCAGTGTTCTTTCTCTCTTGCCATTCTGATTCTCAGCAAAGCTCTACTTTAAAGACCCAACTTTATGACTTTCTCCTGGGTCCAACTGCCAACCTTCACTTTCACTGCGTGACATTGAGTAAGTCACTTAGCTTATCCACGTCGGTTTCCTCATCTATAAAATGACCCCTAAGACCCCTCCAACTCTGAAATTCTGTGATTGTAAAGGGTTTCTTGACTTAAACCATGAAAAGTATTAGAGTTGGAGAAAAAAGTAGAGAATGATTGTTCCCCACCACCCTCCTTTGAATAGGCAATAGAATTTTCCCTATTTCAACTTGAAGCACTTAGAGCTTGGTCAGACATCAAAGATGCCAAGGTCATCCACTGCATCCCAGGCCATTGCTAGTCATCCTAACATTTGTCTCGTCACTGGATTTTGATTACTCTGGAAGAGAGAGCGTGGCTGATGACATTGTGCAACTCTACCTCACCTAAATCCAATTCACACACAAGTCAAGACATCACTTGTGATATTATTGGTCCTCTTTCAAAATGAAGGACGAACAGCAACATAGAGCAAAGGAAGCTTCTTCCCCAGATTTTGAGAAAAGTCATTTTGTTAACCACCAGGCATTTCCTACAATATTAAAGTACCCTGAATCTTTCAACAAATATCCATTCATTCGACAAAGACTTAACGAGTACTTATGCAGTGTCTAATAATAACAGCTAACATTCATGTAGTGCTTTTAAGTTTGCAAAGCACTTTACATGTTATCATACCTGATCCTCCCAACAATCCTGTGAGGTAGATGTTATTATCATCCTTATTTTACAAATAAGAAAACTGAGATAGAGAGAAGGTAGTGACTTGCCCAGGGTCACACAGCTAGGTAAATGCCTAAGGCAGGATTCTGAGCTCAAATCTTCCTAACACCAGATCCAACACTCCATCCTGTATGTCACCTAGCTGCCTCGAATAGTGCTTTGAGATCAATGAAAAGTTCACTGAGGGCAGGGACCATGGCTCCTATTTCTTTAAATCCCCCATAATGCCCAGTAAAGTACTGAGCACACAGTATGTGCTGGGTAACTATATGTTGAGTGACTCTAAAGGGAGTTTGTAATCTGATCATGAAGGACCAAGAATGGGTAGCTGAAGCTTCTTTCCAGCCCTGTCATTACATAGCTGTGTGATTTTCCCTGAGCCCAATTTCCTCATTTGTCCAATGAGGATAGTTATACCCATTCTACTAAACTCATGGAGTTGTTCTAAGGATCTAATAGCATAATGTATGAGAAACAGCTTTGAAATGTATAAAACGCCACATGATACTAACTGCCTTTTCTAATTTAAAATGTTATATATTGATATCTTTTCTTTTTTATTACCTTCATTTCCAAAATCTACCCCTCCCCCTCCCCAGCTCAGCAGTCATTTCTTGCAACAAAAGCTTAAAAAGAAAGAGAAAAAAGAAGTTCAGCAAAATTGACTCACTAAATGAGTCTCACAGGATATACATGCAATATTATACACCCATTATCCTCCACCTCAGAAGATATGGATGTACAGTTATCCCTTCCACATCACAGGGATTAGGGGCAAGGTACGCCCTATCCCCTTGCCCCACCTCCTCCAAGATCGGGGAAATTCGTGTAAAATTTTTTGTCTCTCCCTTTGCAATTTAAACAGCACGAGATACTACAGATGTAAAGATCACTGCGGGATCACTGATGACTGCAAAATGTCATGCAGGAGATAGTAGTAAATATGCTTGGCATCCCCAAACCAGTGAGTAGAACTGCAATTCTTTTATTACAAATTTAATTCTAAGGGAAAAAATGTATAGCTATTCATTCATGTTGTTAAGCAGTAAAATACATACTATAGAGGTAACACTACACATAACAGTACATACATTTTATGCATTTATGAGTTACTAAACTTTTTAAGATATCTCTACATTCCTGGCTTTCGCATTCTTTTCACAAACTTTAACTTTTTATTTTAACTTTTAAAAAATTGCTTATATTTATGGTATTAAAAGAAAATATGTTGATATGATATGATACTGTACATATATTTTATGCATTTCTGAGTTTCTAAGCTTTTTCTGTGTCATCTGCTGGCCTTTGAATGCTGTCTTCGGCTTCTGCACAACTCCGAAAAAATTCACATTTAATATCCTATGCCAACCTGCAACATATCAAGACCAGGATGGGGAAAGTTGCAATGTGGAAGGGATAACTGCAGTGCATTTTCTCAACTATTCTCCCAAACTAAGCTCTCATGCTGCTCCAATCTATTCTTCACATAGGTAACAAAGTGATTTTCCTAAAGCATGGGTCTGATTATGTTACTCTACCCAGTAAACTCCAGTAGCTTCCTATTACCATGTATTATATATTATATAATTATATATAATATTATACATTTATATATTATATATGATTATTATTTATTTATTATATTTATTATATAAATGAATATAAATGTAAATATTACATAAATTAAAATCATAATATACACAAACTACTCTATTTGTCATTTAAAATCCTGGCCACAACCTACTTTTCCATGGTTAATACTCATTGTTCCAGCCAAAGTGATCTTATTGCTCGTCATATGTGGTAGGGCACACACGGCATCTCCTGTCTCTGGGCCTTTGCCCTCATTGCCTCCCTACATGGAAAGCATTTCCTCTCTGTCTTTGTAACTTAAAACCCCCTGTTTCTTTTATGGCTCAGGTTAAACACTGACTTCTACAAGAAGCCTTTTTTGACTTCCCCCGACTCCCAATGTTTTCCTCCAAAAATAACCTTTTCTCTATTTTGTATATAATTTGCATGTACTTGTCTATATAAAGCTTTCCTCCATTGGTTAGACTGTGAACAGCTTGAGGGCAGGGACTGTTTCCCATACCTTTGTCTTGTTAACTCCAGCACTAAGCACATTGCTTGACACATGGTAGGTGCTTAATAAATGTTTCTTGATCATCTAATGGGCTGTGTACATTATTCTTTTGCACTTAGGTACTCTTTCCAGATGATAAGCATTGGGAGTACTCCAAACAGGCACAATTCAGATGAGTAGCTCTAGGCGGTATCTGCCCCAATTTTGGTGATCACTGTGTAAGAGTTCTGGAGCAGCATGTGAACCATGCATGACCCCGCATTGACACAGGCACCTGTGAGCATCAGATGAGATACAGTGGTGCTTTGTAAACTTTGAAGTACCATATAAAAGTCACTTAGCCTCTATCTGCTTCACTTTCCTTGTATGTAAAATGAAGATAATAATAATATCTAGCTGCTAGGATTGTTGTGAGAATAAAGTGACACAAATATTAGTAAAACACTTTGCAAATCTTAAAGTACTATATAAGTGCTATTATTATTGTTATTATTATTATTATCTGTACCCATAACAATAAAGACTCAGAAAAAGAGAAATTCAGGACCAAATACTTTATGTGTTAAAGCTGCCACCTTCAATATTCAAATAATTTCTCTCCTGCATCCCCTCTACTCACTCTATCTTACCACCAGTATCAGTTGGCTTGATCTTCAATATCTTCACCATCTTCTCATTATCTAGTTCCCTTAAATAACTTGGTACCTTGGTGGAACTATTGCTACCAACAGCTACCAGGCCAGCTTTTTGCCACACACTCAGAGTGGCGGAAGTGTCTCAGGTGAATATCTCTCCTGTACAAGTCTAGGTATTATGTATGCTGTCTTCTAAATCTGCATTTCACAGTACCTGCTGCTTCTAGCCTAGGTTTCCCTGTCTGTTAGATGGGCATAATAATAGCACCTATTTTATGGGGATGACAGCTACGTAGTACAAGTGGATAGAGCACTGAGCTTGGCATCAGGAAAACTCTTCTTCATGAGTTCTAATCTGGCCTCAGACACTTGTGTGTGTGACCCTGGACAAGTCACTTAACCCTGTTTGCCTCAGTTCCTCATCTGTAAAATGAACTGGAGAAGTAAATGGTGAACCATTCCAATACCCTTGCCAAGAAAACCCCAAATGGGGCCACAGAGAGTGGGATATTACTGAAAAATAACTTAACAGTAACAAAAATTTCATAGGGATGTTGTGAGGATCAAGCTAGATGATGTATATAAAGCTCTTTGCAAACCTTAAAAGGCTACATAACTGTACACTATTACATTATTATTACTATGATACAGACATGGGCTTTCCACAAATGTAAACTGCAACATTATTTATCAGCATTATCACTTAATTCAGAAAGCCTCTAATAAACAACTATATACCCAAATGCTCATATAAGTTCAGACCCAGTGTATTCATCCACAATTTAATTCAATGAACATTTATTAAGCAACTAATATGCATCAGGCATTGTGTTAGTGTTGAAGATACCAAGACAAAAATAAAAGTGTTCCTGCCCTCAAGGAGCTTATGCTTTACTGGAGTGTGGTGCTGCTAGAATAGAGATGGTACATGCATTGCAGAAATTTTGTTACTTAGGCTGCCTCCAGAAGTAGTATAAAAGCTTTCTCTTGGTAGTAGCCTAAGATGCAGCTGGCTTCAGGGTACAATGCCAGTCTTAGCTAGGGAGGTCAGATCATATTCTGGGGCATGGAGATTATACATCTGTTCCCTTAAGTCCCAGAAGATAAGTCAGTGCAGCCTTGGTGTGCCCCCACCTTTTTCTTCCTGAGCTAAGCAACTCCATGCTTCCTCTTGGGGAGTGTTATTTATGAGACTCCATGGGATTTTTTAAGGATAGATTTCTGCAGGCAAACTTTAATCAAATTTAATTCACATCATTCTCTTGTCTATCAGTTAAGGATGGCTTCAACATCAGCCCAGCCTTATGCCTTGGCCCACAATTCATCCCAATGACATTAAGCTCTGTGCCCCAAAGGGCTACTCTCATGAAGGGTCACATTTCCCTTCATTCCAATTAACCTATTTGTCATATTCTGTGACTTCTGGACTCAACACATTGCCTTGAAGTGTTTCCCATGATCTTTTGGTCATACTAAGTTGGGAGGAAGAAGTTCCCAGAGTATTATTTGTCATGCCCTTGGTATTTTATCTTACGAAGAAACACTGAAGGGTGAATACTCTTTAAGATTTTGGAAGAAACTTTCCCTGCTCAAGGAAAAACTCTTGTTTTTACAAGGAGAGCAGCACTGGCAAGAAGTGAAATCAGGCATCAGAATTTGGAAGGCACCCACTGTACTGTCCTCTGGGAACATGCAGAACAAACCCAATCTCTTTTCCATGTAATAGCCTTTAAAATACTTAAAAAACAACTAATATCCCCCCCCCTCTTCTCCAGTCTAATCATTCTCAAAGCTTTCAATGGACTCTTCAGGATTTCCAGTTCTCTGACCATTCTGATTGTGTTCTTCTGCAGTTTGTAAATATTCTTCCAAAAATGTAATACCCAGAACTGAACCTGCTTGCCAGATATGATCTTTTGGTATGATTAGGAAAGAATAAAGTGGAACTTTCACCTCCCTTGCATATATTATTGTTAAAACCATAACTAGTCATTTTGATCCTCAAAGCAAGCACTGTAAAACATGGGTAGGACAGGTACCATAAAATGTACCCTTAAATCAAATTTTTTTACAACAGAGATAGTTGAGAGGCTTCACAGATAGAACTCAGATCTCAGGATATAAGACCTTGTGGCTTGAGAGATCCAGGACACTCAGGGGCCAATGTTGGGAAGGTTGTTTGTAGAGAAGGGAGCAGGGCAAGGCCAGATCAAGGAAGTGTTCACTTGGAGTGTGGATATAGGTAGGGAGGAGATATGTCAACTAATAGCCTTCTATTTTAGCTAAAAATTCTTGCTACATGTACTTATTAAAGGAGTACGAGTATTGTCACCACAATCCAAAAATTGGTACTCTAGGACAAAGCTCTAGCCGTCCTACCCTAGTTGTGACTCTTTTAATTCATTCAGCCTCATTTTGAGATTGCTATCCACTAAAATCTCTTATTCTTTTTCATATTGACTTGTATAGGTATGGCTCCTCTTCAATGAGCTTGTGAAGCTGACTTTTTAAGCTCTAGCCCACCTACTGTTTTCTAGTCCTCAATCACTGAATGGGTGCTGCCTCAGACAAATTGAGACATGGGAAAGCCTTAGCTTAAAAGGACAAGGTCTCCCCCTTGCATTCTGAGCCATCACCAGTCATCTTTGACAATTTTAACAAATTTAACAAATTTGTTCTATGAAATTTGGATTCAGTGAAAGAGTCACACTTGAGGACCTAGAGGGTCAAGGCTGCACCCCTGACCAGTGCCTAATATATAGCAGGTGCTCAATAAATGCCAGGTGATTTGTCCAAGCAAAAATATCCAAGATGTAATTGCCCATACAGGAATGGTATTTAAGTGAGAAATCAAGACTAGAGATCTGTAGATTTGAGAATCATCTACATAGATCCAGAAAGAAGAATAGAGGACCAAAACCTGAGCCTAAAATAACTCCTAGTATTAGGAGAGTGGTGGGATGAAAAGGAATAATAGAGACTGAAGAACATTTGAAGAGGTAGAAAGAGAACCAAGATTGTTTGGTGTCATAACAGGCAAAGGAATGGAAAATTTCCATAAACAGAGGCTGATCGATGATGTCAAATGCATCAGAGAAGTAGAGGAGCTTGGGAATTAAGGAGCGATCTATAGGATTTTGGCAATCACAAGGGACAGAGAGGATTAAGTTGAGTAATTAGGGTAGAAGCTAGATTGCAAAGGGTCAAGGAGTGAGCAAGAGTGAGACAATGAAGATGCTTGTT